CAAAATGTTTACACTAATTTTCACTTGGGCATTCAAAGGCTTTCAAGAATTGCATGAACTCAACAGAATATTTTAGTATGGTTCACTCTCCAGAAAAATAACATTTTTCATTTCATTCTACTATCATTAGTTTCCTTTTATCCACTATCTTCAAACAAAGTATATTATGCCAATTTTCACATTTCATTGGTTCTTTTTATACAGGCAGGTCCCTTACTGCTTTGGGTTTTTTAGTCCAGATCAGTACTATGTGGTTGCTAGAGAAATGTTTGATTAGTGATTTTTAAAGTTAAGCATCTACTTTGCAAAGTTTGGGAATATTCAGATCAAAGAGAGCTTTGAATATATATAGAGAGAGTTTCTACAATCTGAAATTCAGTGTGAAGATAGATTCAGGAATGTTGTTTAGATCTATTTTCCTCATTCTTTTGGAATGTTTATGTGGAGAGATGAACTGAACAAGATACCACAGAGTACATAAAATTATAGATCATAAATCAGTGCAATTTTATTATCTGTCCTTTTTGGAAGTGTTGTAAATGAGACAAATATTTCTGCATTTTCATAAGGCATTAAAATTGATTTCCATTTTAACTGTGGGGCACTGCAATTGCAAATAAAGCAGCTTGTCTATAAAAATGACAGTACCTTTTAGCACTTGCTGTTTTTCTTAGAAACTTGTCACAGACAAGCACTAAAACCATTTTCAGTCTAATTTTCCGTATTCCACAGCCCATACACCTGCAACGCTGCCTTACAGTATCTTGCCAGCAAGGCACTGCAAGAAACACAAGGTGTTTCCAACAGCCAGCAATCACAAACTCCCCAAACTCCTCGTCTTTTGTTCTACAGCTTAACACCACGGCAGAGGAAACTGTCTACCTTGTTTTCCCAAGGGACGTGCAGACGCTGAGCACCTGGGAGCGCTGCGTGTGCCCGGGACGGGCAGAGGCGGGCGGCTCCCAGCGCGAGGAGCCGGGACAGATGTGGCCCAGCTGTGCTAACTGACGGCTGCCACAAGAAAGCGCCGCACGGTGGGAATGCCCTGCGCTGCAGCAGCGCTTGGCTCTGCGGGCAAGGAGCCGCTTCCTGAGGCCAGCAGAACCCTGAGCAGGGCTTCAGCCCCACTCGGGCGTCTGGAAACGCAGGGGATGAGCTGCAGCCTGGGAAGGGGAGCAGCGAGCTGCCTGCTTAGCACGGCCCAGAAAGGCAACGGAGCCCAGGGAATCTCTGCGCCAAGCCTTGTCCCCAGGAGCAGCACACTCACTGCTGCAGTAACACAGTGAAGAGAGGAGAATAGCCACGCTTGGCTATAGGGTTCTGGAGCGTGCCCAGCACAGGACTGCTGCTCCAGCTGCTTCGGGCAGTGTCACAGAATTGTCTCGCAGTCTCCTTGCAGGGCTGTGACCACTCAGACCCTGGTGGGACCGAGCTGCTCCTGAGACTCCCAAGGAAAATTCAAGGTAGAGGACAACAGGATATAAATCAGCATGCTATCAAAGCAGACACTTTTACACCAAATGTGTGTTTACCCACACTATGATGTAAATGAAGTTGCTGAGCAACCAGGAATTTGGTCCTATTTTTACTTCTGCATTTAGAGTAGCATCACTAACTAAGAGTCTACCTTTATAAGTGTATGTTTGTACAATGGACGTCAGATATTTCAAAAACAATTCCAAGATAAAGCAAAGTCCACTTCCAATCTTTGTCAATATGCAGAGGGGGAAAACCACGTTAACAGAGATCAGAAGCTTTAGTAGTTAGGTATGTAAACAAGTTTCATGATTTGCACAAGACTTGAAAATATATGTGATATTTTTGTTAAAGCAAAAAGCAATGTTCTAAGCACACACATCTACAGAAACTAGTATTTGAACTGTTACAAGATATGTTTTCTACATTTCATTTGCATTGGCTCTTCATTTAAATCTTTTCCCATAATGATAATGGGTCATATACATAACTATATATTCAGTGAAGTTAAATCAGGAATTGATTTGGCTCCATATTCTTTCAGCTAAGACTGTAAATACCAGACTCCTGTCTGCTCTGCATGAATACAAATGACCTCAGTGGAGTTCTGCCAGTTTACAGCAGCAGAAAATGAAGGCCAGAGGATCAGTCTTTTCCATAAGACCATGGATTTGTTTCCATGCCATCTTCTTTATAAGGTTCTGAATTATCTGGTTGGTGCTCTCCATACTAAAATTATTTTCCTTCAGTGGCATTGTGCATATGCAAGTATATAGCAGGATACCTCTGGGTATTAACAGAAATATACCCATAACTGTCTGAGTCAGATTTGCCTGCATATCTTTTCATTTCTTCAGTGTTTATCTCATTCTTCCATAACCATTATCTCAAGAAATAATTACTGTTCCCTTTAGAGTCATGAGAAGTGAACATTAACCCTGAACATCAGCAATATCCAAGTTTTCACCTCAGCCAGCCAAGGAAACAACCCTTCAGTTTCCATCCCAGTGGAATAACTATTTTACTCCTCATAAAACTCAAAGAGTTCCTAAAACAAATAGTCTCTCCCCATAACTGGGGATCCATCAAGACTGTGGAGAGAAACACTCAGTATCGTTCTGGCAACACCAAAGGCAGTCAAAAGTTCAACACAGATAAGCTGACTGACTGATAAGGATGCACATCTCTGCTGCACTTTAGACATCAATGAAATCATTAATACCAAGGGATTGGGGAGATGCATCACACAGCCTTCACTTCCCATGGGTTCACTCAATGTCAGATTGTGCAGTTCAAAATCCTTGTCAGTGTGGTAGGGAGAAAGCTGCTCCCTACTGCAGCAGCCCCCAAGTCAATCCCAAGTAGCACTCCAAATTTCCTGCTCCACGTGAGAGTTTTGCCTTTAATTCTTTCAGAAAACAGGAAAAATGTTTAGAAAAGGCCATAAATAGAAAAGATTAATGTCCATTGCCAACCCCTGCTGAAAATATTAAATATTAAACAGAATACAAGCTACAAGAGGAAAAGATATATATTATTCAGACTTCAAGCCACCTCACAAACACTAAAACAATTCCAGGTAACTAACTCCATGAGCAAGTATAAAATTTAACATGCACATAAAGTATGTTCTTAAAAATGACAACCTGGTAATGGCTAAGAGGAAAATATGCCTCCTCTGTGAAAGGTAATCAAATGAAAGGTACAAGCCAAAAACAACCACAGGGGCAGGCCAATAAAATGTCATGTACAGAAAATGTGGCCTATATTGCCTAATCTTCACTGTGATATTCATGCCTGTTAACAAAGAGCAAAAAATCTAACTCATGAGTGGTGTAAATGTAAGTGAATTATTCCCATTTCTCTGTGTAAGATGAATGTCACTAAAGAGTTTCAATTTTGTTGGGTATTCTGCAGCAAAGTGTTTCTTTATATCAAAGGAAACCATATAATGACTATACTGAATGACACTTATGGAGCATAGTAGGCACCCTGAACATTTGGAAAGAATCATCTGCTTATGAGAGAAGGAACTGAATGGCTGGATGTATCCCTAATGTACAGTGAAAAATTGATAATGAAATGAATAGAAAAGGCACTTAAGAGATTCCAGAGCTGATGTGGCCTGAAGAATATTATAAACTCCTCAACAAGTTTTCTCATCGAGCCTACAAGCAATAGGATTCCCACAGGACTGATCTCTAGTTTCTAACTCATGCCTTTCTAGAAAACCACCAACAAGAAGCACCTAATTCACTCCACAAAGCCACAAATGTTCACCTTTATGGCTGATTCTTTGCAGGATAGCAAACCCTGTACAGAGAGGTCTCTCAGACAGAAGGTTCCTTACTTTATCTTTGCTATACATATGTATGTTAATGAGGTTGTCTCCCTTATTTTTCTGTTGAGGCTTTCAAAGGCTGACCTTGCTATCATTATACAGCACTTCTCCGTTTCTTTCTCCCAGATTTTCTATGGAGCTCTTCCAGAACTTACTTGTTATCCTTCTGATTTATACACATTATCTGTATCCTTCAGAAGAAGATGAATTAATAATCAGATCTGTTCAGAAATGTTTAACTTTAAGGTTGCAGTGGAAAACTCCAGCTGCATCTAAACCATTTAATTTAAAATACCTTGGGTACAACAAAACACTGTATTGAATTAAAATAAATTCACATTAAAAAAAAGTTTCAGAAAACCTAGCAGAATCTGCTACACAGCCAATTACATTTTAAAAAACATTTTAACTACAGCACAGGCATTTTTTTGAGTGTAGGTGTAAAAAAAAATTCTCATTACCTTCTACCAGCAAGGTCCTGTACCAACCAGTTTTTCTATACAACATACTTGCAATTTTGTATCAGTCTCATTAAATATCATCTGTGAGAGCTCTTTCTTTTCTGGTGGGTTTTTTTGGGGTTTTTGGTTTTTTGGGGGTTTTTTTTGTTTGCTTTTTGGGTGGGTTTTTTTGTTTGTTTGTTTGTTTTGGAATCTCACTCTTAAATTATATCCCCTAATCAAGATAAATACCATTCCTCAAAACCAACCACCCACTTAAGAAATAATAGAGAGGTGTCAAGGACAAAATATTGGTCAGCAAACTTTAGTGAATGCAGTTATACCAGAAAATGACCAAAAAATACAATGCAGCCTTGTGACATTAAACCAAGCCTCAAGGGCAAAGCTTCTACAGCTACTGAAAACAAAGGATTCTGATCTCTTCAGAGAAGGAGTGCATACTACCTTGTGTCAGAGGTGCACACTCTTCTCTCCCACCCATACAGCTGACCTTCACTCAACTCCAGCTTGCCATATTTCAGTGATGCAGAGTGTAAGCTATAAGATGTTATTTGGAATCATCTCCTGTGAAAAAATCTAAAATCCGACAGCCTTTCAATGCCAATTCCTTTAATGAATGAGATTGCTATTTTCTCCTCTGTGTGGAAGGTGGGGGGGTGGTTTGAGCAGTTACTGTTTTAATTTTAGGAGTTGTACCACGTCAATTTTGATCAACACAAAAAGTTTGTTGGAAACAGGAATATTTATTTTTTGCAGAACTCAAGTAACTCAAAACACAGAGAAAAAAAACATATTCCCAGATTTACTCACTCATATATCTCTATACATTTAAAGAGTTCATAGACTGATTTGTCAGCTGTTAAAAAGTTCTTAATTACATTACTGAAAGAACGAGGTAAAAGGCAGCTTTAGGACCAGCTTTGTACTACTCAGGAACCAAGTCAGTACCAGATGTAAGCAAGAGTAGCCACGATGCTATTCTGAAATCCACCAGCTTGTTTTGCACCTATGGAGAAGTCACTCAGCACACCTACCCTGAGCCAGTACAGGATCCAAGGCACCTTGACAGAATAAATGACAAATCTCAGGGATGCCATTTACTGGCCACGCAGAAAAGAACACTAAATAAGGGTACAACGAGGAGCTACATTCACCCCATAAAAAGGTCATTCCAACAGCCCTGCACAGAACACCTTTGACTCAGTCTTCAGCTCGTGCTGATTTGACATCTGTACCCATTTTCTCTTCAGACAACTCTATAATGGACTTCAGCTCAGCTTCAGAGAACTTGGGGGTCAGTGCCACATTGTCATAATCAAATTCTTCATCAAGTGAGAAAGGTTGAACATCATCGCCCAGTAGCTGTAATGAGGAAAAACAGATACATAAATAATATCGCTGCGAGTGATAATAAGGAAGCTCAAAATATAAACTTCTAATTAATATTTAATTAAACTATTTTTCTGACTCTAACACTCTCAGCTGATTAAGCTCTTTTTAAGTAAAAGAATAAATTCAATTATTCAATTTGACCTAATTTAAGCCATTTAATGTGCCCCATTTGTACTGTACTGTATCTGAATGAATATCATTAACTAATTTTGCTCAAGGCAAGGAATCTAAAAACCTCCCTTGCACACATCTATTATATTCCTGCCACTTGTAGCAGCAAGGCTGTGGGGATATGGACATGTTATATGCAGCTATGTTAAATTTCAAAGACAAATTCCATGTTGTCAAAATTTGGGTTAGTATTACATAAAGCTGCAGCATACATGCATCTGACACTAATGCAACATGCTTCCCAGAACACAGTTTCAGGGAAGGAAAGGCCTGCAATGAGCAAAATTACACATAATCAATTTTCAGACTCCAATAATTTTTTCACCATCTCAGAGACATGGAATTAGCTAGTTTGCATTTCTTGCATAATGAACATAAGAATCTTACTGCATTTGCCAGTATGTGCTTTGTTGACATACTGTATTGCATTTCTGCATTGCTTCTGGTTGAAGTATCTTCGAATAAACACTCTGCCTGTAAAATAAAACAATGAAAACAAATAACTATGGCAGGCTCCATGCTGATAAGAAACTGCAGGGGGCCATGACAAGAAAGGTTTATGGTAAGAAATGGTAAGCAGTTACATAAAATGAATTCCAGAGTAACACAGGAGACACATCTTCAATATTAAAACTGTGTAGGAATGCTCCCTATCCCTTGAGAAGTTAATATAAATTGTCTATAAATGTGTTTCAAAGATTTAAGTACTTCAGCACCAAATCAGCAAAATGTTTAAACACATGCTTATTTTTTCAAGCTTTTGACAAGTCCTCAATGAATCCCATGACTACTGATGTATATGAAATTAAGAATACATGTACTTGCTGAAAAGCAGGAAGAACACTCAGCATCCTATGATCACTGCTCAGTTTAGAAGGCACAATCCTGCACAATTTGATGAGACATTTTGGTAAGAAGAAGCATTGACACAGTTAATGCCAACTGGTAAGCCAGAGAATTGGTAACTGGACTCCTCTCTGGTGACCTTGATAGACATTGCAGAGAGCATCTGGGTAGTATCTACATCCTTTATTAATAAACTGTAATTTGCATGAATAATCAGGAAATATTTTTTCTGGGGTTATATAATTCTATTAATCATCTATATTTCTCAGTTTTCTAGGGATCTGGCTTACATGCTGGAGTTACCAAATAATTCTGCATGCAGATGAGTAGACCATGGGCATTTATAAATGGGAAAAACTTCGTAGATACACTTGGTCTAGAAAAAACTATTTATTCTGCACACAAAGATTATCTTGCTTATATCCACAGACTACTTCATATAAGCCATCATTAACTTTTATAAATAACCCACTTGAAAGATGTTAACAGGAGATAAAGCCACACATAAACTCTCATTTCCATTAGAGATAAAGCCAACTCCTTGACCTCCTCAGCATATTCATGTTCATTTCCATCTTTTCCACAGGCAGAGCCTTGCAGAATTCCTTGTCAGCAACTGTGTGACAAATGGTAGCAGCAACCAGGGCTCTACTACCTGTCTTTCACTTGCAGAAATCCAATGCACTCTTCTAAAATACAATGCAAGGCATGAGTATTTTTCAGTTATTTTGGTTGTAACAATATTTTTCACAACATTGTGCTCGTTTTGGCTGGAGCAGAGTTAATTTCCTTCACAGTGGCTGGTATGGGGCTGTGTTTTGGATTTGTGCTGAACACAGGGTTGATAATACAGAGATGTTTTTGTTATTGCTGAGCAGGGCTCACACAGAGCCAAAGCCTTTTTGGTTTCTTGTACAGCCACAGTGGTGAGGGAGCTGGGGCTGCAGGGGAGGAGACACAGCTGGGACAGGTGACCCCAACTGACCAAAGGGATATTCCACACCACACGTGTGTGGAATCATCAGTGCATAAAGTGGGAGGAAGAAGGAGAAAAGGGGAGTTTGGAGTGCTGTCCTTTGTCTTCCCGAGTGACTGTCACGTGTGGCGGGGCCCTGCTCTCCTGGAGGTGGCTGAGTACCTGCTCACCTGTAGGAAGCAATGATTTAACTCCTCGGTTTGCTTTGGTTGTGTGTGGGCTTTTACTTTCCCTATTAAAATGTCTTTATTTCAACACATGAATTTTCCAGTTTACCCAGTTCTCTCCCACTCCTGCTGGTGGAAAGCAAGTGAGTGGCTGTGGCACTTGGTGTCTGCCCAGGGTTAATCCATGGCACACATCTAAGGTAACTGAGCTAAGAAGAGTTCAAACTACAGTAAGCCTTTATAGGGATTTTACAAAAGCAAATCTATTTTCCTCTGCCAACAGAGTTACAGAAAGTATACACACATCCACTCTGACCTTGTCTTGGCCTTCATATCACTCCAGGAACATTTTATGCAGACACAGCAAAATACTGGAAAAACTTTTGTTTACAAAACTTGACCCCACAATGCTAACTGAAATAAGATGCCAAAATAAAACAAACCCAACTTCACTCTGTTAACAATTTCTCGGTTACCCACTCATTGCACATTTGAAAAGTTTATTCACACTGCATACTTATCAGTGTGCTTCATCTCTCAAATGAATACTCAAAGCATTAGGGATTCCTTTTTTTCTTCTTCCAAGAAGCCATTGACTTCAAACTTCCACGAAGACAAGCAATCTAAAACTTATATACTGCAAACTGCAATTTTGTTCTATGTCAAAAGGAAGACATTTTACGATAGAACACTGAATTCTCTGAGCTGATCAAGTTATTATCTTGTTATTTTTGCCTAAGGAGCTGAGAGAAATATGTGAATTTCAGGTGTCTAATTTAACATCTAATTGAAATCTTTTTGAGAGCTCTCTGGGAATAGAATCCTGCTCTATTAGAAAACTGCCAGTTTGCTTAAGATTGCTTCTGTGATTTACTCTCTGAAGAAAAAAATCACTTTCATTTACAGTTCCTGTATGTCCAAATTAAAGGAGGGAAATAATGTAATATTCATATTAACAACTGAAATATTTTGCTAGATGTTGTTTTACCAAGTAATATTGTAAATAAAATACCCTGAAGTTGACATTTTCAGAAGTCTATTAATGACTGGCAACTCAGTTATTTTATTAATCTGTGAGGAGTTAAACTTAGCTGAACAACTTGTCTCTGTCCTTCTAAAACTTGTATTACTATGTGATTATGGCACTCTATGATTCACTTGTTCAAATTATGTAAAGCTTGCACGTACGCTCACCAGTGATTTCATTGCATGCTCAAGGGAAAACTTACCAGTTCACTAACAATAAATAAATAAAAAAAGAAGTGGAAGGAAGGCATATAGGCTATGATCTCATATAAGCTTAGTATATCCTGGAGTACCTGGGAGAAAAAAAGCTTGCTTGAGCTTGGGGCACTGGACTAGAAGTCAATAAATCTTGGCCAATTTTCCACTTCTGCTTCATCATTCTGGACAAGTCATTCAATCTCTGTGTCTTTACTGGCCTCTGAGAAGATATAACTCTTCCATCTTCTTTGACTTGGTCAATCCTGTCTTTAAGTTCTCCATGTTCCTGTTGCATTTATGCATAGCACGTAGCAGAAACAAACCTCAGCTGAGGCTGAGCAGTAAAACTTTAACCAAAGGAACTCAGTGGAAGTTGTATTTTAGGGGATAAATGCTGCCATACCAGAGATTAAGATAAAATGACAGACATGCTAAGTACTTTTTTGAATGCTCAAACTACAGACAAATAAAGGAGAATTGAAGGGCAGATTTCTTCTTTCCTAATCCCAGCCACACAAAAATTAGGTTTCTAGACTAAGGCAGTCAATTAGCCAAAAACAGCCTAGCCCAAGCTTGTGTATTTATTACATTTTACAACAAATGCTGTCAGCAAGCAGGATTAATCACTTTCTGGAGTTGCTTATTTCTGCCTCTTGGTGACTGAAGAACTAAAACTACATTTAAATCTGAAGTTAGCTGAGATGAACCCCACTTTGAATGCATGATTGTAGCAAGTGGATGAAAACAATGCAACTGCACTGGTGTATGCCGAGAAGGAAAAAAGACACAAGCAAGCAGGAATTAAGACATAAAAATACTACGCTATCCTACACGAAAAAATATATTAAGTAGTATTAAAGGAGAAAATAAATTTCTGGGTAGGGGAGGGAAATGTTCTGTGATAATGTACTTCAAAGATAGAATGAATGCTGGTTCAATTTGCAGCGGCCTGTGGGAGGTCAGGTATGCTCCACTGTGGATATTGAAATTCTGAAATACATTTATGTCTAAAGGGAGGAAAGAAAGATGAAGCAACACTGGTGGATAATACAAATAATTTGCTGTGTCATTCACTAAGCCACTACCTAACACCTTCTGACAGAAAAAGATTTTCAGGGAGTCAAGTTGTTCTTTAACAATTATCCAAGTTATAAACTGGGTCTTAGCAGAGATTCTTTTATTAAACTTTCCCTAGCAATATGTTGAGAGATACATAATTTACCCTGAAGTGCCTCACAAGTGTTTCCATAGCATAGACATTTCTCATCCTTCTATTTTTCATACAGAATGGTCTTCCATTCTCTAAGAAAACCAATTAGGCAGCAACATTATGTTGCCCTTCCCTAACAGATTTGTTTTGATGGACAGAGAACAGTCTCATTTTAAAGCAGAGATGTCTTCAGGGAAAATCTTTTTCTCTTTCTAAACTAGTCCTGCCATAAGCAATGCAAGACTTAATTTTCAAGGCAATGACAATTTGAAGCACTGAGGGACTTTAAAATGGACCTGTTCAGTCTTGACAGTTCTAAAAATCAGGCCCCAGTTATATTATCTAAATGAAGGCAAAAATATGTTTATAATTTAGGGGAAAGGCTGCCTTCATTTTAAGTAGCCTGGCACCAACAAAATGGTTGTGGAAATTGTCTTTCTTCTTGAAAAATGCAGCAACTCATAGCCAATGTAATAATACTCAGTTTCTTTCATAACCCAAATTTCCCTCAAATGGAAATGAATTTTGCATGCAGTCGGATCTTTATCTATTTTTCATGAACTATAGTTTAAAGAATCATATGCAGTCCTTTATGAACACTGCAGGCTGCTACAACCTTCCTTCTTCTCTACAGAAGTTATGAAATGAGAAAGCTGTAAAGCCTCATTCTAGTTTTTTGGGTGTTATTTTGTGTCCAATGGATATATCTAAAGGCAAAACCTTGAATTATGTCAATCCTTAGGGAAAAGAGTGAGTATTTTTATTCAAAGAATGGTAGGTATTAAAGCTTGAAAGGTCATTTTAGAACATCTACTTTTTCCCAAAGTAGACTTGCTCCTTATAGTAAAGAGTTTATTGCAAGGAACTAAACACAACTGAGCCCAGGAAAGGAGGCACCATATGCAGTGATATAACACCAAACCTTCATTGGTCACGCGTCATTTATAAACTTGATTTAAGCCTCACGGGAACATCAATAAGCATATGAAACTATCAAAACTGGCCCACTTTAGCTGGAAGCTAACTTCAGCTTCTATTGCAATGATCAGGCAGGGGAAAAGAGCAATGAGGAATTCTCTGCAATAGAAACACCCCGAAAGTTAATGCTCATGCTGACTATTTGGATAGGAAGCTTAATGACTTAAAATAAGCCTGTGAGCAATCCACACCTTCTGTTGCAGTTTGAGAAGAACTGAATTTCTGAAGGAAGACAGCAATTCTAAATTAAAGTCTGCACTGACTGTGTCTTTTTAAAAGGCTCAGAGACCATAAAGCAAACCTCTCCACACCAGACCCTGACAATGCAGTTTCTCAGCAGCATCTTGCTACTACTCATTTATAAGGGACCAGATTTTAATTCTGACCACAATATATTCTAAAATCTTTTTTTTGTTCTTTTAAGTGTCATGTTAAAGGGATCATTCACTACCTCCCTGCTGCAAAAAATGGCTCCTATATTAAGCCAATGAGTATGCCATAAGATCATGAGATCACTGGAAAATTAAATGGTCCATCATTCTACATAAGCAAGGGTAGCTAAAAGGCTTAAAGGGTAGAGGCTTACTTGAATATTCTGTGAGTTACACAAATTAAATATTAAAAAGCCCACATACCACTTGAAGTATTGAAGTGCACATTTTGAAAGAGTAAGATTATATAGCAGCAGTGTGCCATATAAAATAGAGTGTTTATTTCAATTCTTAACATATTTAAGAATTCATTATTCATTTAAAAATTAATAATATAACTTGTTAACTCACAGCAGTTTCACATACTACATCTATATCCCTCTGTTCTTGTGGAAATAACAGTAGAAGCCAACAGGAAAAATAAAAATACCCCAAACACCCAAAGTTTGAATTAATACATCTGACCTCATACCTCTTGGGCTTTGCTGTCTGATGGCTGTGGAACTGACCAGGCTCTGAACTTCGGCTGGATAGGCTTATCAAAGAAGGGTGTACAGCAAGATACTGTCTCTTCCACCTCTCCTGGAAGAACTAACGACCCTGCTGAATAAAAAAGAGTCAACATTAACCTTCCACTTGATGCATAAATTAGCAAAATCCTGCTAAAATCCTGTAGTGCTCAGACATGGGCAGTAGCTTGTTAGCCAGAATATGATGTAGTTATTGTTGCATAAGCTATCATTAAAACAGAACCATGCAGTCCTGAGCTAAAATCTAGGCAGTAATACTGAGCTAAGGAAAAATCAAACTTGTCTGAAAACAGACACATAGCCCTTCTTTCTTAAGGGTGGTGAGTTAAAATCTGGATGCAGATGCTCTTAAACTCAGACAGCACCTGGAATTACATTCCTTTCTTTCAGAACAAAGATGGAAGGTCCTCAGCAGAGACATCTGCAGTAGAAGTTATAAAACCTTGCCTGCCACTGATGACCTGAGCAGGGTCATTTATTCTCTTTAGCTAGAGCTTCACCACCTGTACATTGGGCATAAAGAATCATTGCAAAGCATCTTAGTATGACTCTCACAGAACATTAAGATACCTGGTAGAACTACTAATATTCCCCCTGCAGTGCCAAATGACTCTCTTGTCTAAGGGTATTTCATGGATGCTTAGTATGACTCTCACAGAACATTAAGATACCTGGTAGAACTACTAATACTCCCCACTGCAGTGCCAGATGACTCTCTTGTCTAAGGGTATTTCATAGATGTCTGTTTCTCCCTGAGCTGTCCAAAATGAGGTACTTGAGAGGACTTCCCCTTATCTGGGGTGGAGTGACATGTAACCTTTCCATACAGGCAGGATTTGCTCCACAGTTCACAAATGAACAGCTTTTCTGAATCACTTTTCTTTTACAAACTTCAGCAAAACATTCATACTGGGACCAGTGGGTTTGCATTCTGTGACAGATCAGAAGGATATGCCTTAGGTTTAGAAATATCTTCTAACATGAATCAATCTCAGCTCTGCCACAGCACAGATGTGTCCATCATGTCTCAGTAATGTTTTTATGAAAGAACTTAAGGGGACCATATGTCTTGCAATTTAGTGAAAGGATTATGTAAATCTAGCTACTATTTTTTTCAGCTGATACACAAGTTTCTTTACAGTTTTATACTACATTTACATTTATCTTGTAATCTCAGAATAAATTTTCAAAGCGCTGCTTAAATTTTACTTAATGGAAGCAACAAGAGAGTACATAGATCCAGGGTGAAATGGATGAAGTGTCTACTCATCTCTATATCTGCACAATTTTACCACAGTAGTGGAGTTACAGACCTCTCATTCCCCTGTGAACCTGCATTTGAAAATAAAGATTTCCTAGGTAGGTCTCCATAAAAAATCCATGATCAAATTCTTCATTTAGTTTTCTTCTGGGAATAGTGTACTATTTGAAAAGCCAGCAGGGCTTCAAATTGCAAAGTAGAATGTTCTTTTAAAAAGATTTGAATTCATTCCCTTGGGTATTTAATTTCTGGATTTTTGTCTCTTGTTTTGTGATAAGTGGGTTTGTTTTCATCCCTATTCTCTTGGTTGCTTATGTCTATCTCCAGCCATGTAAGTGCTTTCAGTCCTTGTTCTCGGCATAGCATCTGTTCTGATTCTGCACCAGTTATATGAGAAAACTTTCTGAAAAGGACAGCACAGTCCACAGGTATCTAGGCTATGTCTACACATGCTCTGCAGCTGCTTTTTTCATCATTTGGGTCAAAAGTATTTATAGGACAGAAGGAAGATGTGAATACTCATTTAAAGACAATGGCATCTTCCACTATTGTTTCAAACTTGCAACCTAGATCTACACCCTTATTAAAGTAAGGGAAGCCTGGACATCAAGAGGTTTCTATCACCTACTGACAGAAACACTGATTATTTCTGCTCTAAGAGCTTCTCCCCCTCAACAGACCAATCTGCAGGGAGAAGATGAGGAGGAAGCACTGTTGTTATGCAACAACCTGGCAATGGCTCAGAAAGATAACTCTTAAGAATTAGGACAACAGAAGGAAATTTATTTTTGCTTTTAGAAAGAAGTGCTTGTCATACTCAGAATGTCAATTCCACTTTTTAAGGCTTGTTAGTAATGCAAACAATGTTTCAAATTCCCTTCAATCACCCTGTAAGAATGTAATCAACCTTTGTTTGCCAGCAGACATGCCAGAAATGAGCTTTGTCTCTCTCTATCCTGGCTGTGTGACAACATATGAAAGTCTAATTGGTAAATGCTGCTTTCCCTGATAATGTTTAATAAAGAAACCCCTTCAGAGAGAAAAAATTAGAGAGTTTTGACAGTCGTCCTTCTCAGCGGGAGCACCCAAAGGAACTCCAGGCCATTGTAAGTTCTAGCCAGTACCTCACAGCTTGTTTAAGCTGCTGCTACAGCACTACTGGATGATGATCCTAATTAAGCTGCTAATTATGTTCTCTGTGGAGGTGATTAATTAGCAACAGGAAAGCCTTGGATACTGCCAACGGCACCATATATAGAGATAACTGAACAGGCAGTGGTACAAAAAAAAACAAACTGAGAAGACATTTTGAAATGCACCTCTCATATTATGAAGAATCAACTCCCTGGATGATATGGCTGACAATTTTACTGAAGTCCAGCATACTTTAATAACACCATATTTGGAAAGTGAACAATACTCTTTAGTCCCTCCCTACCACATCCCAGAAAGTGATCACTAAATCTGTCAGCACTGCCGAGTTGGGAGTTTTTTGCTTATTGTGTACCATAGACATCAATTGTGAGTACAGAAAAAAATAATCTACTGGCACCATTCTGTTTTTAACTTTCAAGAGTGAAAGAAGTTCAAAGTTTTGTCTATAACTTTACTGTAGCCAAATGATGCCCAGCTATATATACACTGACAGCTATATATACACTGACACAGGTTTTACCACTTTCAGACACTACATTTCACAAAAATGCTGTTGATGGGGAGTTGAGAAGAGAGTGATAACAAAAAAAGCTTAAAAGCTAAATTTTGCAGTCTGCTCTAATTCTCATGCTTCAGGCTGTTAGTCCCAAAGAGCTGCCTAGTGTGAAATCATCTCAAGGCAGTGTTAAATGGATTGCAGAGACTGGAGAAGAAAAACAAGAAAGGGATTCACCAGCTGGGGGGGAGCCCCATACTTTAAAAAATCCACCTCATTTAACTCTGAATCCTCTTTCTCAACATGCTTTTTATGGATATAATGATAGGCTAAAATATAAATGGCGAGGCACAGATTATGAAAAGTAACAGATGTTGATATAATTTGCCAAAAAATTATTTAAATAATCAATAATTATGCTTGGCCTCAGCTTCAAAGTAACTGAGTCAATCAGGTTCTCCTCAGCCTCTGCAAGGTTACAGACAACTGGGACTTTGAAAAGACAAGTTTGCAGCACTTCAGTGCTCCAAACTGGATTAGGATGAGACATTTATATCCTTGCCTATGAAGCCTCACCCACACATTTAATTAGTCCCGTTTTAATTTTCTCTTGTATTTCTCTTGCATTTCTCTTGCACACACAAGATCTCCAGACATTCTTTAACCTATTTGGTACTTTATTCAAATATCACCTGTTATTACCAAGTTATCCCTCAAGCCCTGCAGCAAGAAATCTGTAAGCAGTCCTGGAAAGTCCTGTTGCCAAAACATAGGCACTAGGCAGCATCCATCCATCCCTGGAGAAAGCCTGATCATCTCCATTGTTGCCTTAAGCTCCTTACAGTTAGAGATTAAATTCAGGGAGAAAGAGTGATTACAGTAGACCATGCCCATGCTGTCTCTACATGGTGCATTAAAGCTGGGGTTTAGGGCAGCAATTTTACTTTGCCAATCATGGTTTACGGTGCTAAAGTCCCACAATGCAAAGCATTGTCCCTGTTTCAGGCTTTCAGCCCAGTGCTGTCAAACAAAAGCAGCTACAATGAATTTGCATATTGGCCAAATCTCTGGGCTGCTTTTCCTACTTTTAAGAAGCAGTCATATTCATTCACACCTTAAAAGACACTGAACTTTGCCAGATAAATTGTTAAAAAAAAAAAAAAAAAACTTCACTAGAATGACTCTTCCAGGACACCTGCCAAAAAGCACTGGTTAGATGGGATGTTCTAACACCTATTTTCTACCGTGCTTCTCATACTGTCAGCTTTGAGCCAGTTGCCCTTAAGTGTGAATATTTATTGTATTAATGTACAGTTGCTAACTCAGCTAACTGATCTTGCCCTTTAAAGCTAAGTGAAGCACAGAGGTATTGAACTGCTGCCAATAACAAGGAGAGACAAAGGTTTGTTGCAATTACTAGCAAGGTATGATATTTTTTACTGGGTAAAATAAGCTATGATATTTTTAAGCTTGTTTTGACAATATGAAGTCTTAAATCAATCATTTGTTCTGACATAAGGTGGCAGCATTTAAAAAGGTCAACAACAGAATGTATAATTTGTGTCACAATTTACCTCATTTATAAACTAACTGGAATTCTACAGAATTAATCTTTCATTAAGGTATTCACTACTGATATTATTCTAGATTACTTTAACATTACAAGCAATAGAAGTGACATAATTTTATATTTTAAATTGCATTTTGTTGCTATGGTTTCTACAGGACTAAGATTTTACCTCTCTTACTATGAAGCTATTGAGTGAATTTTGACATGTAAGACAACTATCAAACCATAAGTGCTATTTTCTGCACTTAGGAGTCAAGGAGAAATTTTTCAGCCTGACTCAACAACTATCTTCAAAGACCAGGGTTTCCCAGATATAAATTTGGATGTTGTTCACTTTCCTTGCAGCATTTAGAAGGAACAATTAATTTCAGGCTAGGCAGTGTTTCAATGTTATAAAATACAATCTAAAAGCCTAGTGTTGTTAGTGAGCATTGTTGATACAGTCTCAATCTTCATTCAGGCAGTCTGTCTCAAATAAGGTGTGTTTTACCAGGGTTTTCCATATGTATGTGATTAACATTTACTCTTGGACACACACAAATACACAGAAATGACCCAGAAACCGGAGAGAGGCAGTTTACCAGGGTTTTCCATATGTATGTGATTAACATTTACTCTTGGACACAAATACACAGAAATGACCCAAAAGCTGGAGATAGGCAAGGTCTGTCACAGTACTGAATGCACTGAGTTATCCCCAAACTTAAGCAGAGCTGTTTTTCTCACTGTTCTGCTTAATATTTTAGCACTGGGCTTAATTCTCATCAACGAGTTTGTGGCCTGTTTGGAACTATGGATATCTAACAATACCTTAATGAACTGGATACAGGCATTTCTCCTTGCATTATGACACAAGTGACATGTGGGTTTGTGCTTCCAACAGTAAACTCCAGGGGCTTTTTAATAGATAATGCCAGAATTTAAGACATAAACATAGAACAATGCCATACAAAGGGAAAAATGAACACTGCACTGAAAAACAACTTTGATATCTGTACCTGATCTGGGACTGCTGTTTTACTCCCTCCCTTCTGAAAGGTTGGAGAAAGAATACTTGCTGTAAACCTGACTTACGTTGGTTTATTATTTTCTTGTGAGATACTGGAAATCTCTAAGCCCTCGGACTTCACAGGAATTCAGGACACAGAGAACGGAAAGACTAATCCAAACTTTACTGTTAGAGTGGACAGACCAATCAAGCGGCAATAACTAAGAAAACAAGCATCAAAGCCCTGCAGTTTCTGTCTGTGACCTCAGGCAAATCCCATAATCTGTGTGGCCTGGTTTCCTTGTACAGTCACAGGTATAGATGAGGAAAATTAATTTAAACACTAAAAGGTTGTCACTTCTGGTTGTAATAAAGACCACAGAAGGACCTATGATAGACAACTAACCATAGACATTAGCATTCCATTTACTTTTTGGAGGTGGGAGGGTTAAAATTATTATAGATGTACAGAACAGTTCAACACAACTCAAAATGCTCCTAATTGGAATTTTTAAAGACGTTCACTGTGAATTCAGAATTAGTCTAATCTATTTTAAGCTCAAAATGAAATTGTTTTAATAGGTAGGGATAGCATTTTCATTAAATATTTCCAGTTTAAAGCACTGTCTCTTAGCACCCACATTACTTTACAAAAAAAACTTTTGTAATGACAGTCATTTCAATACAAAATAGAAATGCATTAATATGGGGAGATGTTGCTAACAGGAAGTGCTCTGTACTTCTAGAAAAGCTTGGGGAAAAAAAAACCTTCACCAGTACGAAGTACAATAAATATTCCCCTTAATTTATTATTTCATTACCTCTTAGAGTGGGGAAATTAGTACTTCAGTTTGGGGAATTGGGGCAATGTGGGGAATTTCCTAGCAATAGAAGAACTGAGTAAGATGATCTCTGTTAGGGGAGAGGGAGTTCTTTAATCAATGTTCACACACTTGCGTTCAGAGAGAGAAAACTATGGTGAATACGAAGGGGGGAAACCTACCACTGCATGTCTCTTCATCTGTGTCTACATCTTCCAAGTGTAAGTACTTGTCCACCTGCCATGAAAACCCAAATGGGAAAATAGAGAAAAATACATCAATTCCATTCCTTATAGCACATCTAGAGCAAAGCAAAAATGCACTAAATTGTCTACTTCATCCTTTCCATTTTCCCCTGCATTTTTCCAAGAAAGCATATGAGTTTTCTTTGAAATGTGTAACCCAAAAAAAGTACTTTTAGGTATAGTCAAAGATTTACTGCCAAAATTGCCCCATATCAACTTAAGTGATGGAAAGGAAGCTCAAGCTGTACAGTAATTTTCTCAGGAACTTAGCGGGAAGATGGAGAAGTAAAATATTTTCATAGGAAAATGATGCATGATAAGTTACTATGCAATTTTGCAAGCTCATTTCATATGGCACAAAGAGAATACATGCTGCAGGCAAACTGGAGCTTGATCCTTCTGTTTTGACACTAATGGTGAATTGATTAGGAAAAAAAACCTAAGAATTATTACATTTCTATTATTTCACCTGGGGCTTTACTCTACTGTCTTCTCAGGCTAATGTCCCTTGAACAATCTAAACTATTTAAAACATACCCAAAGACAAGACATTTCTCATTTCAGGTATCACTCTGAATAGATGCACAGGGTGAGAATGAAAGGTTTTTCCCAGCCTATCTGCAAATAGTGTTTCCATGGAGGATTGACTACATGCCATGGATTTTATTCTGTGTTTCCATTAAGTAATTAAAGATGCTCTCATATAATTTTTTTCAACCTGGTTTGAAAACAGTCTCAAGACTTACATAACCTTTACACTTTAAAAGTACATATTCACTAACATCAGAAAAAATTTTGGACTGCTCTCCTTCTTCTTTCCCACAGATGGGAAACCAGCAAATTGCAAGTAATTTGTAAATTAATACAGGAAAAATCAGTCATGTTCTGCTCATAATCCCCACTTTGAAGAAAACCTCACCTTCACTCTTTCAGACAGACTGAGATTATTTCCATCAGAGACACCAGCTGTTGAGCTCTCACTCATCACTGTCTGTAAATAGATGGGCAGAAATACTTACATGCATGAAGAAGAATCAAAATCACAACCAAAGCTCCTACTGATTTATACATAGTTCACAGAATCACAGAATGGGTAAGGTTAGAAGGCACCACTGCAGGTCTCGTTGTCCCTGCTCAAGAAGGGTCCCCTAGAACACATTACTCAGTTTTATAGATGTTGTATATAAATTTTTTTAAGAAGTTAATGGAATGCTCCTGAAAACAGAACAAGTACAGGTAATTCTATGAAAACCTACACGGGACCAGACTGAATCAATTGGAACAACAGTGCAAGTAATCATAGCATGCCTAAAAAGCAACATTTAGAACTGTTTTTAAAACAGTATTTTCCCCATTTTCCTTTCTTAGGGCAGGCTTAAAGGTTACAGTGGTCAACTTAATGCATTACAGCCTCCTCCTGCTACTACACTGCACTTTTTCTGCTGCATTCTACTATTATTGTATTTGTTTCTTAAACTGCTAGTGTGACAAAAATGTGCAGGCATGTCTGAAGCTTTTTCTTCTTTAAAAACAAAGACATACATAAAGGTTTATGGAAGTTCCATCACAAAGAGGATAATGGAAGTTGTACATTGCTTTATTTGGCAGAAAGACAATTCAACATGACTAAAGTAACAGACACAAAGACAAATTATAGCAATGAGGAACCAATAATTCTTATGAAAAAAATGGCAAAAAATACTGTCATTATTATTACACAATCAACTGACAGAACATTGTTTTAAAAGCCGTGCTTGATTCTACCTCAAAGACATGTCCTAGCAAGGAGGAAAGCGGCAGCTTGTGCTCTGAGGCCTGGCATGCCCATTATTTGAAAGCACTTCAGTGTGTGCTCAACAAACACAAAAGGAGCTGCTACTGATTTTTTAATAAAAGTTTAATGAAGAGCAATTTTGAGTACAGACTAAATCACAGCCTAATTATTTGTTATTCAGGCAGGAAGACAGAAGTTCTTAAAAAGTTGACTCCGATTTCCATCTCCCTTCCAGATGATGTCTGTTGTTTTCCTGTCCCTACACATTAAATCCCCAATCCCTTATGTTTCAGAAGATCAAAAATGCCCCTGGCCTGCCTACTGTTTACTTCAGGTAGTAACATAGCTTCAGGAACACAGAACTCTTGTACTTCCTAAAATCTACAAAGAAACAAATAAACCTGTCCATGCTGGCATCCATAATCTCAGGATTTTTTTTTCCTTTTTGCCAACCTCTACCACAAACTGCAGTCTCCAGTGAAAGCATTACTTAGCTCCTTGCAGGGTGCCTTATTTGTTAGTCAGATTATGGCAGCTCTTCAGCAGGGCAAATGCCACTGCCAAACACGATCTCTGCAGGTGCCTCTCTAAGCATTTAACACTTAGGTAGTATTTTAAATATTTGCCTCACATAGGATAAATACCACTAGCCTCTAACATTTGGACAGTGTATCACTCCATATTTTCATCTGTTTAAATGTGGTGCTTGTCCACATGGACAAATGTTAACTCATTACCTCATTCTCATTTGCCATCCGTGGTGGAAATGACCCCCACATTTCTTTGTTTCTTTCAGGTGAGCCATCCTGTTTATTTCTGTCTGGTAATTCAGAAGTAAAACTCTTTTTTCTTAAGGAGTCCCCTTTACTTCCCTGAATTGTCTTTCCTTCTTTCTCTGCAAGCAGAATCACACCAGATCAGGTAACATAATGCACTATCCAAGAAAAAGAAAAGCATGTCTATAATTACATTTACTATTGACTTTTTTACACATTCACTTTTTCTCTCATGAAAGCTTCCATGTACAACATACACATGTATTTTATGTATAAAATAAAACTTTAGCATAAAACCTTACCAGACTTTACCATAAAACTGAATATGCAGTTTGAACTTCAATTGCCCACAGTCCCATCTATTCCTCAGTACTGAAGAATTCATTATCACAAAAGTTTATGCAAGATACAGAAAACTTCATAAAATCAACCAAGAATTTAAATACCCCAAAAAGCAAGACAGTAAGGTTACACCTTACTGCATCCAGAAGCTAACAGCATGTGCATGGAAGTATGGATTTCCAAACCCACACTGAATAGCTGGGGTTTTTTCTTCAACCTGGCAAAAAAATAAAGTAATCACAGCCAAAATAAAAATGCAGTACTTTTTATTTCAGAAGTCCCATTACTGAATAAGCAGCAGCTATAGGTCAATCAATGACAATGAAATTCACACCACATGTTCTTAATGAAAAATAAATGCTCATTTAATTAAGCTTTTTGGGTTTAGTTTGAAAAACTTACTTTGCAACAATAAGAAACACTGCACTGAATTTCTAAAGCATAATTATGTATTATAAGCATTGAAGTAACTCTTGTGGAGAGTTTTAATGATGCCTTTGGGGTTGCTACATTGAGCCATACAGCAAAGAATTATTAATCCCCTGGGACAGCTCTGTGCTGCAGTTACTGTGACACGCAGAAAGGGCTGGCAGGCTGGGCATAACCTGAAGTCCACACTTACAAGGGTCAGGGTTCATAAAAAGCAAACTGCACCACACCAGAGCAATCTAGCAAACAGGTTTCAATGCTCAGATAACAGATCCTCTGCACAATTCCTAAATTCCAGGTCTCTGCAACATCTTGCTTCTCCCTGCTTCTTTTGCAAGTATTTTCCTGAAACAGTATTTGGATACGGCAGTACCAATGAGCCATCGCTTTTTTCCAACATTATCTTTTTAAGCCATGGAGATGAAGCAGTATTAGACATGAAACTCTCTTTTAAATTCTTGACTGGTAAAATGGTCACCTACTATTTGAAGATAATTTTACTGTCGCCCTACTTTACAGAAAGAAATAGATGGCTAGCTCAAAAACTTCAATCTTTTTTTGCTTCAGCTGTAAAACAGGACAGACTTCCTGTTTTATCCTAAGAATCTGCAAGTTTTATCTTAAAGACTGATAAGCCACAAAAGAATATTAATGTATTTTGGGGCAAATGTGTATTGGCAAATAATGCAGGCAAACATCTGCAGACCAGCAGAGTACCAACAGGGCCTGAGGACCAGCTCAGGGTCCTCCCTGTGCACATCAGGAGATTTCTGTATGAGAAGTGATAAAAAGATTCTGGAAGCCATACACTTTTCTCACCAGACCAACAGAGACACAAAAGAAATCATCACTGCAATGACCAGAAGCATAATTCATAGAGCCAAAAGACTCTGAGTAAACATGACATTCCTGCAGTAGCCCAAGCTTTTCTTGTATACCACTGTGATCATTCTTCTAGGCTATAAATTGGATCATTCTTCTCAAAAATATAGCTTCTGAGTTCTCCAGAGAAAATAATACCACTTTTAGCACTAAAAGACCTATGACACATATTTGGGCAGTTATAATTAGGCACACCTATGAGCTGACAAACTTGCTTTATTAGGTTATATATTTTCTGGACACCTGAGCTATTGTCACAGCTAAAAAGCTAGATGGATTAAATGAGCTAGTAAGAAATCAAGTGCATTCAGAGTATTTATGTGCCATTTACCAACCCCAGACTAACTACAGCTTAGAAGCACTACCCGATCTCTTTTCCTAAGAGATCAGTCATAAACTTTTGACAGAAACCTTTTTCTGGTTAAGACCATTGCAAAGTTATTGGGTTAGAGAATATTAAACAATGCATTTGATGAAACATTCAGGACTGCAATGTGATACTAGATTCATGACTGCTTGTGAAGAATAATTTGGAAGAAAAATGTCTAAGCAACGCAAAGCACTTGTTAAATGCAATTCTGTGGACAGAATATCAACTGTGCAACCATGTGCATAATGAGGCAATGCCATATAAATTAAAGGGGGGCAGGTGATTCAAACATTATGCTGCCAGCCTTGAGCACAGTCCCTCAGGACCAGTAATAGCCAACTTCAGCTGCACAAAGCAGCTCCTGAGACCTACAGTCTCCCAATGCATGCACCAAATAACTGGCCCCTTTGAAGCAGTACCTGCAATGAACTTAAAAAATATTATCTAAAAAAACCACACAGAAGTTGTTTTGAAGTTAAAAGAAACTACAGTCTAAAGACAAGCATCACAGGTGTATTTCTTTGAGTGTTCTGGATTTCAACCATTTCTGTCCTTACTTTTTGAAGAGAAGGGGAAGAAGGAAGGATGGCATTCCAGCTAGCAAGAGGATCACTCTGCCCTTCCCCTGACTAAATGATAATTGACTCATTATTCACAGTCACAGCTCTCAACCTGCCAAGATCCTGTTGTAGAACACAGACCTTCACAATATGTGATAAAAATCAAAAATAAGGGATACAAGCACAACAAAATGTAGCAGAGGAAGAAAGTTGAAATGATATAAAGATTCACATATTTATTCTGCAGACAGATTCTGTCTCACTTTTTAGTCATTTCACTGTCAGTATCTTAAAAATGAAATAACAAGCCAACTTAGATCTCTGGAAAAGTACATCTGAGTCTCTCAAGAGCAATATCCATCATAATTGTGTGTCACTACGAGTATGGTGCAGACTTCAGAAACATGTTTCAATCAAAAAGGATATCCAGCTTGATAAATTCTTTTCTCCCTTGCTATCTATCCTCTATATTGCCTAAAATTCTCTTTGTCTTCCAATTTGGACGGGAATTTTTTGAGAATGTCTAGTGATTACCCACATATTTCAAAGAATAATGGAGTCACTTACCACAAAACCAGAGAAGAGAGCTACCTGTATTATCAGGAAAAACTTACTGTCAGTGAAATCTCTCAGATGACATAGTAGACCCCGCAGAATGATAAAATTCTCATGGTCTGAATAATTTCAAAGCCAGACCAGACACAGCAATCAATAACATACCATCAAATACATGGCTTGGGATAATACACTGAACAAAACAATTCAAACTAACAGGTACTTCCCACCTTTTTTCCATTGGATTAATTAATTTCAAAAACAAAAACTTGTTGAGATTTAGAAACAGGTCCCTTTAGTTATAAAACAGCAACAACAACAACAAACACACAGCAAAGCTACTATTTTAGTTCCAATCTACTTTTTTGTCCTCAAATCCTGGACTGAGGACCAGCAGAAGGCTTATGAATCCCTTAAATCTATTCCAAGCTATGCTTTGATTGAAAACCTGTAATTCAAATATTACAGTGACTTTCTTCAGGACTCTTGAACAAAAAAACAATAAAAACAATTTTACTCACAGTACTACAATAACTGTCTTGAGCAGAGATAACATATACAAATGCCATGTTCATTCAGTTTCTCCATTCTTCAAACACACCTTCAGCAAACATTTTAAAACAAGAAACAAGGCTGTCACTGAAATGATTCCATAAAATACCACTCTGACATGTTCACAAGGTGGCCACACACTCTAGAACTACCTGTATTTAACTATTTGTAACTATGTAAACCATTGTACAGCACTGCATTCATTTACCCTAAATTACAAGCTGTAAGAGGAAAACAAGAAATTTCAAGGCTAAAAATCCAGTTTGCTGAGGAGATAATTTTTAGAACGTTTATTAATTTTTGTCAACTCAATCAAAGCAGCTCCTGCATCTTCTGCAGTAACCCTGTGAAAGTGTAACCTTAGCAAAATTTGCAGCCTTCCTATGTTTGTATATTGTCCTGCTGGGAATAGAACATAGTGTTTTAGAGTTACTTAGCTTAAAAAAGCCATTCTGATTTATGTTAACCAGATACCTTTCCATTTCCATATATTTTTATATATAAATTGCTGTGTATCAATGCAGTTTGACTTTTCAACACAAGAAATATCCCACATAGTATGTACCTGGAGGATTTCAGTACTAGAGTCCTATATGCCTGTCTAAAATTAAGAGCAATTCAGGTGTAATTCAGACACCCAAACTTCATCATGTAGTCCTGCTTTAAGAGTCTAAGGGCTTAGCCTCCTGATGCCACCCAAAAAGGCAGTGGATGCCTTACAGGTATTGTACCATATCTGCCCACACTCAGCATCTGCATTGTCTACCCCATTACTGTCTGAATTCATGTGAGGTACATTCCAATCTCACTCCATCAAAATCTGCACTCATTTCAATGGCAGTGATCTCACAGTAGTACTCAGCAAGGAGAACTCCTTTACAGCAAATAACCTGCCTAAAACATTTACCTCAGTGTGCAAATTAATATTTGTAACACAAAAATTCAGCTGGTGCAGCCTTTTCCCCTAAAGTCTTTGATCTTATCCTGATTAAATGACAATCAATCAGCATAAAGTATTGTTAGCCTTTTTTTCCCCATTTAGAAAAGGTCAAGTTTTACTATAATCAGTAATATGGGCTTGATTTTTCTATTTAAATTTACCCATTTGTTAAGTAAAGTCCACTGTATTAATTCCTCAGGGAGGATAAATACCTATTCCGTGGACTGGGACAAGTAATTTCAGTGGAACTAACTCTAACCTAACGGTAAACTCTTAAGTCCTGATATTTACTTTTGACTGCCATTTTTGGATACTTATTGTAGTATGTTTAAAAGTAAGTCAGGAAAGGACTTTTTTATGTGCTCCTTCAGGGGAAAGATGAATGACTGCTACTATCAAGTATATTTCAGCCACTCTCATAGACCTACTCTAGCTTAATGTACAGCCATACTTCTCTAAAACCAACTGAGCTCCTAATTTTCAAAAATT